ACTTTTCTCTGTCAGGGCTTCCCTGGATCGGGGAGAACAAGGGCAGGTCCACCTAAAAACCACCCAGATCCAGGCTCGCAGTCAGACACTACTTGCTTTGTTTTGGCATGGGGGGAACCCTGCCTGCCAGGGGTCTATGCTTTGAACCACAGCTGTGCAGCAATGTGATGTGCAGACACAGTCTTTTTCAGACTGCCACCCCTTACCAGCTTTCTCGATGGTGGCTAAGCGGAGGCTTAGCTTGGAGTAAACTAACTGGAGGCAGAACTGCACACCACTCAGTGATTTTGTGAGGCTGGTAATATTAGGGGTAACTTGTTCCTCAGACGGTTGCGACAGTTCAAACTTACGGGGTGTTCCTACAGCAACCAGCACAAGCCTTTTTTTCTCCCCCCTTTACAAATGAAAGGTACCATTCAAGCAGGGGAGAGGAAAGAATGGGAAAGTTGACGTTTCCCATAATTGCCACGTTTCATGGAGAGGAGGTTAAAGGATAAGCAAGCACAGGGCTGATGTGCTACAGTATTTATTTATTTTGGAAAGAAGGGTGTAATTAACCCCAAATAACAGCCCTTGAAGCCAGTGGAGGGAAGTTTTCTGGCCCCATCAAAGAGGGGCTAAGAAGGGAGTGACTGGGAGTAATGTACAGTTGCAGATACTGAAACTATGTGCCTGATAATGATATAATTAGGGGATCACAGACTTCTGGCTGCTGTCGACTTCAAACGCTTTAAGAGAAGCCTGCAGTCTCTCCTGAAGCCACCTTGACTAAAAGCAGACATTTTTCTTTAATAGCTACATACAGTAACAAGAAAGAGAAGGTGAACAGAAAGGGCATTGTTCACTGTTTGAAAATACCAAATACCCTCTCTGGCCTTTTACATAGTTCAAAAAGAATTTTTATGAATTGACAGAAATAACTTCCCCCTTCCCCCCAAATACAATATTACAAAAGCTCTGCTCTTTTCCATCGGAAAGGTTAAAAAAAAGGCCCAACGTGAAAACCTGGCTCTGATTAAAATGGAACTGTAATAACTTGATGACTGCTCCATCATGTTTTGTTTATGAGACAGTCTTGGGTCAGGGGAAAGATAAGAATTTCAAACAGGGTCATATAAGCTATTAAAACAGAAACAGGGTTTTATGGCTTGTTTCCTCTGTGTGTTGCTTTCTGAGACAAGTTGTGAGAGAGGACATTTGTGGATTTTCCCTCTGAAGTGTTTTTATATTTATCCATGAGTTATTGTCAGTGTAAGATGTTAAGCTGTCTGAATCTGCTTGCTAGACAACATTTGCTTCAGTGACCTTTTTAAAAAGGGGGAGTGGGAAACTGGGAAAACAAAACTTTAAGAGAAAGAGAAAAGTCTATGATGAATATAGGAAAACCTGATTTCAGCATCAGAATATGAGGAATAAGACATAATTTTAACCATCACCCTCAGTGTATACAACATTCCATTTTTATTTTCCATTTTTTCTTATCATGGTTATCTATTTAGGTAAAGACTCTTATGTTTGTTTTGCTTCTTAGTGAAAGTTTCCAGGCAAAGAAGAGGTGAAATGTTTTCTGTCAAACTAGCTCTCTAAATGCCTGGTAAGTTTTTGAACGTCATGAATTCAACAGGCAAAGACTTCAGAGCTTGATACACAGATACGGACACAATGCTAAAAACTCAATAGAGTGGATATAATATTTAGTTCTGGAAAAATAGGCCCACTGAAGTATTTTCTTTTCCTCTGAAGCAAAATGTGCATGGCTGTGTGCATTGTAATCTCTTAATTGCTTTGAAAAATAGAATTCTAAGGTCTTGGTTTTTCCAAATGGTTTTGGGTACCTTATGGTTAATTTTTGTTTTTAAAAAGTTAAGCATACACTTCCTTCAGTGATGATAATTTCTGAAAGTTGAGAGTACCCCAGCTTCCTTCCAACTTCCTTTCATACTACTTTTCAGATTTAAACTGAAATATTTAAAAAAGAGTAATGTGTCTGTACGTAATAGAATGACTCTCGTTTTTGAAGAATGTGAAATGAAGATGTTTTTATGAAGGGGGCTTTTTTTACTTCCTTTAGAAATCTTTGTGGTTTGCTGTGCATTTTTCTTTCAGTTAAAGAGCAGAGGATTTTCAGGTTAAGTGTTTACCTTTTTTGACCACATGATGGATTGGGTGAATGAGAAGCTGGTAGTGGTAAAGGAAAGTTTAATTTGACCATTGCATCCTTCCTTCCATCGAAAGAGGTTGATTTTGGCAAGTAGAAACCACACTTGTAAACAAAAGTTCCTGTTTTAAAATGGACTAAAAAGTTCTTCTGCATGAGAAATTCCTCTTTGAAAAAAAATACTGTGCTGAGCCTAATGCTTCTCTTTTTGTCTCATTTATGAATTTCTCAAGACCTCACTGGGGACAAAGTGCTCAATTTAATACATTCAGGAACATGACCTATACATTGTAGATTTTTCTACAATGTATAGTTTTAGAATTTTTTCATGTGCTATATGCTGGTACATAGCTATAAGGGATATAATATCTATTGTCATATTTCATTGACTTTGGAATTAGACTAATGAATCTTAGAATTAATGCTGGATGCTATGAAGCATCTGCCATGTAGCAAAGTGACAGAAATGATGAATAAGGAGGCACTACAATTCTGTGCTCAGAGAGGATTACTCAGGATAGTGTTAATAAGTGGCCTGCTTAACACATTTTGACCAGGAGAGTCTGTTTTGTAAGGCATGCTGTAAGGAACTTGGTCTCTGTACTTCAACTACTGTGAGAGCTTAAGCTACTACAGGGGTTCAACAGCTGGAGTGTGCACATCCATCTGAAATGCAAGTGTTACTAGAAACACTTAAATTCTTTTCATACAACCCTGTTGCTACTTCGGCAGTCATAGGAAGACTGCATCTAGTTCCCTTGTATTATTGTTTGGTTGGGTAAAGGCCTATCTGCATGTCAAAGGTTCTGTGGGATGGAAATAGCAAATATTATCAATATATCAGCTTCTCTCTACTTCGTCTGGTATCTGTATATTACGCTTATTTCACATTTATATCTGGCTGTTCTCCATGGAGCTCCCTGAGAATGCCACACATTCTTGGTAGCGGTTAGCAGAGGGTCTGATTGTCAGCCATCCTTAATCCATGATTGTATGCCAATAACAGATGGCTTATTTATGGTGTAAAAACTGAAATCTGTCATTCTAATTATGGTATCTTGAAGTGCTAGCATCCTGCTCATACCACCCAAGTCAAGACTTCCCCTCCAGATGCTCTGGGATTACAGCTCTCAGAACTTTTAATTCTGAAAAACCAAGGAATTCTGAGAACTGTAGCCCAATACTTTATGAAAGAACCATGCTGGGATAAGTTGACCCAGAACTGTTTACAAGAGGATAATTATGCTACTCTCACTGTTGGGAGACTTGAAAGAACAGGTTAGGGATCGATCATCATGGAGAAAATCTATGTGGTCACTAGGAGTCGAAAATGACTTGATGACCCATAATCAATCAAATTATGCTATTCTAATTGCCATACGCTTTCCTTAATATTTCTGCATTGAGTGCAATATATATCTCAATCCTTAGTGAAGACGTTTATAAAAGCAAGTACTTCTGAATACCTTTTGGTTAATAAGCTTCACTTTTTATTTTGTTACAGGTGAAATCAGATGCTACTGTGACGCTGCACATTGTGTCGCAACAGGCTATATGTGCAAATCTGAGCTCAGTGCTTGCTTCTCAAGACTGCTTGACCCACAGAACAGCCATTCTCCACTGACTCATGGCTGCTTGGACTCCTTTGCAAGCACCCTGGATATTTGTCAAGTTAACATAGCCCAAAACCACTCTGGCATTACCATACCCACATTGGAGTGTTGTCATGAGGATATGTGCAATTACAGAGGCCTGTATGATGTTCTGTCTACTTCCAGAGGGGACCCATTGGGTAAGTATGGGCAACAGACTAGATCTTGTTAGCCTACTAATGATTTTAGGCTTAAGCAAAGTGGAGAAGGAAACACGTAGCAAGACATTTCTGCCAAAAAGCTTTTGCATTTGCATCAGGCACAAAACTTGCTTTTTTCTTTGTATCTCACCTGGCATATTCCCAGAGGAACCATGCCCTGGGTGGGGTGCTCGCTTTCATTGCAATGTGGTGCATTCTACACTGGGAAAAAGAAACTATGAGAATGTGCAACTAAAATTAATTACAGTATGTTAAATTTTAATGAAAAGAAAATAACCAAGATTTTAATTTTATAACTGTGTAGCTCACTATCTTGTGTTCATCAAAGCTGAAACAGATCAAAGATAGGAAACCCTAACAGAAGACATTTAACAATGTAGAAGTAATTCCTCTGACTCAACAAACCTTATGGCGCAACTCTGTTGATGCTTTGCAGATTGAGGAAGCACAATGTCTCATAGCCATTGGGAATATCCATTTAACTGATGCTGTATCCGCAACATCATAATTGATGTTTTGATAAATGAAAGAATACATTACTTGATCTGCAGTCCTTAAGGATGCCTCTTGATTGCTTCAAATTTAATAATCTCCTATTGATTATTTTCCTTAATGGCATGCACTATACTCTGAATTTTTGGATTTTCACATGGATATCATCATATTGGTTTACTTTATATCCTGAAGGAAGTCACAAACTGAAATATATCCGGTTGAGAAAAGAGTGGGAATCTATTCTTGATATTACTGAACTGAATATTGCAGCTATGGTAAGAGTTGCTGAGTTCAGCAATATCTGGAGGCTTCTCATTCCCAACGCTTATTAAATTATCACATATTTTGTTTATTTTGATCATGTGCCATCAAGTTGGTGTCAACTCTTAGCATCCACATAGATAGATTTTCTCCATGACGATTAGATCTGCTTTAATTTTATTTCAATCCTGAACCTATAAGTCACATAGAAACTGCCATTTTTGTTTTAAAAATCTTAATAGTCATAATTGGTTGTCTTTTGGCTGATAAAGCGAAATTTAATTTGCACCTTTAATTTTGAAGAGACACAAATCTGCATTTGTGCTTGTTTATAGAAAATATAATCTAATAACCCATTGTAAAGCTTCACTGTAAGCTCCAAACAAATAATGCTAGGGATTTCCAGCTCCTTTTGTGCTTCACTGCTAAAATACTTCGTAGTGTCCTGTTCAAGTTCTTTTAAAATACTATCTAAAGCATTCTGAATTTGCAAAGCATTTCACATATTTAATTTATCATTCTAATCAAATCAGACTGAGACCGTAATTTGTATAGACTTACTAAATTATGTTAGTCTTCTTGCTTGTGCATAAGTGAGCAAGTTGCTTCAGCCAATCATTGCATCTCTAATAGGCACATTTATTTTATGTACATAATTTGTTTGCATTTCAGCAAGGTGTACCCAAGGTACATAATTTATAGAGAAGATGGAACTGAAATCTGAAGTTCCATCCCCACCCCCTCCATTTTGCTATACTTCTAACTATAGAGGTACATTGTTGTTCAAATAGGACAATCTGGGATGTAGCATCCCTACCTAGTCTTTAGAGCCCTAAGCTCTAGGTTGATCAAGTTCTGGCTAGTGCTTAAGTTATAAAGGGAAACCTTTAATGCAATAAATAAGCCCTACCTTTTACTCTCTGATGTTTCCATCTGTGTTAACCAAGGAGTGATTTCAGAAGATGAGGAGGAATAATGGAGCTATTCTAGAACATTGATTGAACTATGTGGCTTACTATTTTTTTAATCCCCTGTCCTACCTCCCCCCCCGCTCTTTCTTTGCAGGACAAGGGAACAGATACCAGCATGATAATAGCCGAAACCTCCTCACTAAAGTTCAGGAGCTTACCTCCTCAAAAGAATTATGGTTCAGGGCTGCTGTCATTGCTGTCCCCATCGCTGGTGGACTCATCTTGGTGCTTCTCATCATGCTAGCACTGCGTATGCTCAGGAGTGAAAACAAACAACTGCAAGACCAGCGGCAACAGATGCTCTCTCGGTTGCACTACAGCTTTCATGGACATCATTCCAAAAAAGGACAAATGGCCAAGCTAGACTTGGAATGCATGGTGCCCGTAACAGGTCTTGAGAACTGTTGCATGACCTGTGAGAAGATGCGACAGCCAGACCTCAGTAATGACAGAATACTTTCACTAGTCCACTGGGGCATGTATGGAGGGCATGGAAAGCTGGAGTTTGTGTGATCACTTCTTTTTTGTTTTTTAAATATCTATATCTATATCTATATATTAAAATTTTGTCCTTAAAATTACTAGGAATTTTTTTTTTCAAAGGCCGTTGGGTTCTGCTGGACAGGAGCACTTTATATGGGGGTGGGAGGGAAGCCTACACTCAATAATCAAAAAACAAAGGACCTCTGCAGATGGAACATTGGATTTGTCTTCTGAAGGATTCCAAAAGCGATCTTATTTGCACAGAGTAAATACACTTAATGTATTGTTTGTTTTAAAATTATGAAAGCAAATTTGAGAAGTTTTACATGCTGTTACCACGGTTGTCTGAGCTGTAGGGAAACGGGGGATGAATTATGCTATTAAACTGTATGCAAATTCTGATGTAAAGATTTTTTTAAAAAACACACAAATATATAGATATATATTTTGCCTGAAACCTATTTGTAGTTTTGTGTATGAAGTATTACACTAGAGAACAGGCACTTGAGCACAGTGTTGGTATAGACTTTCCTCTCATCTTTGATGCGGTTCATGTAAGATGAACTCAACTATTCAGCTCGGTAAGCCCACATAAATGAATGTGCATCCTCTTCTTGGTGAGCTTTTTCATTGCTTAAACGATCAAGAGAGTTTTCTTCTGTCAGTACCTGCTTTTCTGGCTATAAAGATGCATGACTCCATTCTACCAAGTATGGTAGGAGGTACAATTGGGAAGATACAGATTAAAATTTCTGAGTAATACTGAATGCACATTCTAATTTGTAAGAGATAGCATCTCCTATATTTCTAAGACAGAGTATTTTGATGGAATTGGATAGACTTCAACTTTACTTTTCAAGAAAAATCTAGGGTATTGAAAACCAATCAACCTTTGGCGTTGCTTGTCAGGAAAGGTTAATGGATATAGGAAAAAATGCTCATGGTTAGTATGAGTTTACATATAACTATATGGTTAAAGAATAACTTTTGGTATGGTGGTAAGAGCAGAACTAAGGCAATATAGGTTCAACCCCCCCCCATGAAACACATTGGCTAGGTTCAACTGCTATATTCATGGGCCCAAATAAATAACATAAACCTAGTTTGCCCAGCATGCTGAACCACAAACTAACTCCATTTTATATTAAAATGATTGTGTGAACCTAGGTGCTGCATGATGTGAGACTAAAAATAATCTTTCTTGGATGAAAGAAGGGACAAAACTGAAATAAGGATTTTTCAGAGACAGATGAGGGGTATTTCTTCTTTCCAGATTGCAAGTGACACAATTAATGCAATAACATTAACTCAGTACACTACTCAAAGCAGGACCTGGCCTGTGGGCCATCAGTCAAGACTTACTCTGGTATATAGAAAGTCTGTAGGTCAGGGAGAAAAGCGGGCCTTATGTGCAGGGATTGTTCTTACCCCCAGAAGAAGACATGACTGCTGAGAACTCTATCTTGGAACAGCTTTATTGCTTGGTTTTATGACGCACAATGTAACCTGGTCCTCTGGGTCTGACTGTATGGTTATAGGAAGCAGTAGATCAAAGCCTGCTTTGCCTTTGGCAGAATAGGACAAATTAAGTGGGCTATATGGCCTCAGGTGTACCCCTTGCATTAGATTGGAGTAGGCCTTGCTATCTATTTCAGTGGCTTTTCCTTTTAAGGTAGGTGGACCTAGGATTGCAAACCTCCTCTTCTTTCTATTCTGTTTCATCATGAGCAACAGTACCTGTAGAATCATCAATACAGAATATGATGCCTTGTGGAAAGCCTTGTGGTGGTGTAGCCTGGAAATGCAAACAGTCTGGCACCTTTTGAAAACCTAGAGAAAGCTCTAGAATTGGTTGGGAGACAATTGTCAACCGTGGGAATGAAAAATGGAGACTCCTCCAGAGGTTTCTTTGGCTGAGCTGATGAGAGCTGTTGGGAGTCCTACTTTAACAATGTTTAGAGCAGCGTTTCTCAACCTTGGGAACTTTAAGATGTGTGGACTTCAACTCCCGGAATTCTGGGAGTTGAAGTCCACACAGTTCCCAAGGTTGAGAAACACTGATTTAGAGGGCCACAGATTTCCCATCTCCGTAAGTGTCTATGGGGAAGTGTGTGTGTGTGTGTGTGGGAATCATAAAATGTGTGTGATAATATTTATCCAAATACCATGGCTTACATACTTTCCTGTGTCAGGACACAAATAGATAATGGTGGCAATTTGTGTGGTAATGCCATTGCCCTCATGTTATTCTGGTTGGCGTGGATGCTGCTATTCCTCTTCTGGGGCAGAACTGCCAGCTGTTGAGCAAACGATTTAAGTACATTTTGAAACTGGAGGTGGATTTTTCTTTTATTTGATTAGTGTATGTCTAAAATATATTTCATTTGAAAGAAAGGTGGCATACAAAGGCATGGATAAAATCGACATAAATAATTTCTGGAGCAAAAGAGGCAGATCAACCATTAAAATCACAGAGTACATAGAGGCAACATTTTAAATGCTTTGGTAAATTAAAAAAAAATAATTTGGTACCAAAAAGTTTATAACATTAGGGTCACAAATTTTCCAGATCTTGGGCAGAGGTCCTCTCTATCATCTGACTTTTTGCCTGAGATGTTCTGTATCTAAAGTTCTCTCCCACTGGGCTATTGGTCCACCTCTGCTTTGCTCGATACCCATTTCTGCAGAGATCAAGATAGGCTTGAAAAAACCATGTTGTTATGTGCAGTGGCCGCATTGCACAATGTGAAAAGAGGTTAGTGGGAGATAATACTGCATGCTTCCCTGGCCTTTCATTGCCTTCTTAAACATCACATAAATCTGAAAAAAATGGGTGGCTCGCTTGTGTAGTTGGGATAGCAATTGTATTTATGAGTTCCACAGACCCACAATAGTTATGGAAGCTGATTTTTAATGATGTAAAGCTCTACCATAGGAAAGTAAGATCAAGCAAGATGTCCAGTGGTATGCTTGGTGCAAAATAAGTCAAGAGTACAGAGCAAATCTTTCTCAAATATAGATAGAATCTGTTAGTAACCCAAGTGCATGGGGTGAGGTGGGGGCTTAATCCTGAGTTCAGTCTAATCTATTAGATAGATGACTCTCTTAGATTCATTCATCCAAGTTACAGCAAGCTGAATTCGTGAGCAATGGCGCTAAGCACCATGTACCACAAATGCATTTTGCACATCCGTAAACGGGGGACCTCAGATAGGAAAAACTAAATTCCAGGGCCTGCAATATATTTTTCTGCCCTATGGAGCTTCTTGGGACTTGCTTCCAAATGAACATTGCTGCATGTCTGCTTAGTGTCCCTTTCTCAATTCTACCTCTGTTTCCATTTCTGTGTTTTTCTTTCCCAAAGCAACAATACTTGTGTCTGCTAATTCCAGGCTCTCCAGCAATTGCGTGTCTCTTCTTCACTCCTGCCGAACTGGTTCTGCTAAAAAGCCCCTACCCTGTGTGTGTCAGGGGTGGGGGCGGGGGGCGGGTTGACCTTCTTCTGAAATTCCAAGTGTGTCTGCTTTGGAAATCACAAAGTTCCCCTCCTCAAAAGGGCCTGTAAATCTGGTTTCAATACTGAGTGATTACAAGCTGAGCAGGGAGCTTGAAAATAACCAGCCTCCTTTGGTAGCTGGGGTGCTGGGCAGACTTATCTGGGTGGCGAATCTGGGGCTTGCTCGCTCTTGGTATTCCGGTGTTTACAGCTGCCAAAGCCAATAAATTCAGTCCAGATTAATTCTCATGTAAAGGATCAGGATCGATCCCTGAAAGCTCCAAGGTGGAGTTTCTGTGTTCCCTTGTTTTAGGACAAAGAGGAGTGAGAGCTCCCCCTCCTCACCGCCCCTCTCTTCCCACCTCAGGTTTTCCTCTCCCCTTCTTGTAGGCTACTGAACACAAAACCTTTGTTCTTCAAAACTCAACTTCAACATGGCATTTTGTTAGAGAAATAAACCTTCCAGGATTATTATTATTAGTAGTAGTAGTAGTAATAGTATTAGTAGTATAATCTTGTTTTAATTATTTATGCTGTGCATAATACATAAAAATAATACATTGCAAAGTAACTTATGACCAAAGTACGCCTGTCTTTCTGTGTGTACAAACACACACGCACAGAGGAAAAGAAGAGCTAGAATGTTTATCTACAGATGCTAGTGCTGGAGTAGCGTAGACCGTGTAGATAGAGACCATGTGATGTACATATTTAACTATCTGCTATAAGCCAACAGGAAGGAAGGAAGGAAGGAAGGAAGGAAGGAAGGA